TCCAAAATCGCCACCCTGCTCCTGGCCAAGAACTACATCCTCATGCAGGCGCAGGCCCTGGAGGAGATGCGGCGGCTGGTGGCCTACCTGAACCAGGGCCAGGCGCTGAGCGCCCCGCTGCCCGCCACCCTCAACCCCTTCGCACAGTCGGCCGTGTACCCCTTCGGCGGAGCGGCCTTGCCCGGCTGCCCCGAGAAATGCACTGCCTTCACAGGAGCCGCCTCCCTCTGCAAACACTGTAACGACAAGCCTTGACTTCTGCCTTCTGCGGGCTTTCGGGGGGTTATTTTATTTATCTTTCGTTTGTTTTTTTTTTTCTGTGCGCTTTTCTTTCCACCGCCATCAGCCCCGGCTTCCCACCATCAGTTAAGTCTGGGTTTTCTTTCTGTTCGCTTCTCTTAAAACACCCCTGTCCCCACGCCCCATCTGGAGATGTCTGGCAGTTTATGTGGACCCCAAAAGCACCCGCTTACAACTTTTAGTTCCCCCTCCACACATGCAACTCCATCTGTAATTTCCTTCCCAGCCTGTTAGTGGACTGTGAGCGTGATGTTGCTTTTCTGCTTGCTCTGATCTGCAAAGTTTTTGAGCAGTTTTTAAACTAAACTATAGGAAAACAGGGAGAGAGATTGATCTGGAAATGGAAACCCCAGCGAGTTCTCTTTGGTCTTGATCAGCCTGTGTTTAAAACATAGCTTAAAAGGAGGGAGGGAAGCAAAATCCAGCTGCAAAACTATGCAACGGTTCAGAATCATGGGGGTGGGGGGATGTAGCCAGCTCGGCTTGGACTGCACCCAGAAATCCAAATGGAAATGTCATTTGGTCAGCTTTTGGGAGGGGGGGGGAAAGTTTGGTGCTCTTGGTAAAACTGTACATGCTTCAAAATAAGATGCTTTTTTCTTTTTTTTTCTCTTAAAAAGAAAAAACCAGCCTGTTTTTGAACTGAGAGGAACCTGTGATTGTATCTACTGCTTGCTCTTTGCCTGTTTCTCATCTTGGTGAAGTTTTCCAGGTGATTTTCCAAAGTCATTGCTCATCATGATAAACAAAAGCAAAAGGTCACTTAACGTATTTATATGTATTTATAATAAATAAAAGACATGAATAACCACTTTCTCTGTCCTACATGTCTCTAAAGCCAGCTGGCAGTCAAAGCAAAACCTCTGCTGAAGGAAGGTAAAGTGGAGACAGTCCTTTGCAGAGGAGCAGCGTGGTGAAGTTAGGTGAATGATGGGAGTACTTGGAAAAAGCTTGTGAACATTCAGCTCCTCATCAGCAAGGATTTGTTTTTTCTCCAGTTTCGCATGAATCGTGAGCACGTAAATGTTGTTTCTGCCTGACAGAGCTAAGTAGAAAGAGATTCAGCTTCTGTATTTTGATGCTTGTGGGAGAACGCTGTGCCCTGAAAGTGGTGTTTGAAAGGGGGTATTATAGCATCAAGCTTAGCTCTGTGGGCACCCATGTAAGTCGTGGCTGGGGAGGAAATTGCTTAAAGACTGTGCTTATCTCTTTAGCTTGTTTTCTGTTATTCCCACAGCTTGACCCTAGACTTGTGTGTGGGGTTCGGGCCACTTAGTATCATGACTAAACTAATGTCTAGCCAAGTATTGACTGTGTTAGTACAAGTTACACAGTGAATCCCTCGCTGGCGAAGTTATGGATGTTGCTTGTGCTGGTTTAATTTGATTTTCTGGTTTATGATGTCTAACGCTTTGGTGCCTTGTACGCTTCACTAATCACTATATAATAATAGTAATAATTAAGGTGCATCCAGTGATTTCTGTTCAGATTGGAATACCCACCCAATGTCAGAGCAACCGCATAAACTGGTACAGTCGCAGCCTGAGGGGCTGGAGCTGTCCGTGGCCATTTGTGTTAGGAGCAGGGTGTAACTATTTAGGGTTATTAAACCAATTTCCATGCCTGTCGCTAGTGTTATGCTAATGTGAAAAGGACTGCCATCCCTCTAAAGCTGCTTGTCCGTGGCACTTAATTTTAATTAATACATTTCCAAAAGATTTTTTGTGTTTGGAAAACCAAGTGCGTGATCAAGCCTCGTTCATAAAGACAGATGCTTAAAACTGGTTCCTGCATGGTTCCAGTTTTATATCTTAATTTCATTTTTTACAGCATAGTTTTACAAACAGTTTATTTGTAGTGCTTTTCATTTATTCCATAAAAGCAAATCTTGAAAATATTCTTTCAAAGGCATCTGATGAAGCAGAAGCCGACCAAAAACACTGCTGAAGCAGAAATGGCTGGAAACTGCAAATCAGCAGAGGTCATTTGCTGACTGAGTTGCTGCTACATAATATTTGGGAGGAAAAAAAAAAGGTCAGTTTAGCAGAGAATGGTGAGGTTTTGGTAAATATGTATTACTTCTGGTTAAAATTATAGAAGATTGAGCACTTGGGAAGAGTTAAGTGAAGATTAGTTTAATTGTTCATTTCTCACCAAAACTGAAATAGTTGGAGAATAAAGTATTTAACAGCTTAATATTAAATATGAGTTGAGTTTGGGTAAAGACTTGCACTAGTAATAATGGAATTTAGAATTGCTTCTTTCTCAAAACAGTATGGCAACAAATGTGGCTTGCTGATTTTAGAGCCTAAAAAAAGTCTTCACAGCCTTAGAGACAAGCTATTTCTGGAACAATGGTTTTTAGTATCATGAGGGTTTAATTTTTCCCCTATAATTTACATGAGTAAAAAGCTTCCTCATATTACTGTATCTACCTAGAATCCTAAAAATACGCCGTTGGAGAGTCCTTGGAGTATGTGAGAGCCCACTTTAAATTAAAAAATCTCAGGAGGCTGAACAAGGAATTTCAAATGTAGGAGATAAAACCTGCATTAAAGAGAACTTTGATAGGAAAAATAGCAAGCTTGAGTGTCTAAGTATCATTAAAAGGCTAGGTGTTAAAAAAGAAATGTAGAATGTAGCAAAGCAATGCTAGAGAAACTTGTAAATCATGGTTAAAGTCTACCTTAAAGTACAGGGGAGTTAATTCAAAAGCAACAAATCCAATCATAACTTTTGCTGTGATGAACATGTTAATATCAAAATAAAACTTGCCTGACTTCTCAGTTAATCTGAAAGTTCGGAGCTATGAGTTGCTTCTACCCACCACAGACCTGTGGGATGTTTAACTCTTCTCACTCAGTTGAATCCCATGCTGAGCCCATTGCATTTCCCTTTGACAGGGAGGATCTGTGTCGATGTTATTTATGCTTTGTGCTGAGCTGCTGGTAAAACTACTGCCAAAGGAATGCCTAATACTGCTGGAAAGATGATTTTGTTGGGAGGGGATGAACCAGCACCTGATTATTGTGTGTGTGAAGCACGGTTTCTAACCTTGCAGATGTGCATGGTTATCCTGAGGATGAGATCCTGTAACTCGTTATTGGCTTTTCCCCTTCTCTGGCATATGAAAAACAACTTACTTTGTGTACCATGTAAGGTTTTAAGTGTCTGCTTCCTGCTGATGTTTCAGAGAATATAAAGGGAAGACTTCAAAATGCTGAAGGTCTTTTTATTTCTGCTTAAGTGTTCTTGTTATGATGCCTGCTTTTTTCTTTTTCCAAGAAGGATTTATGATATGTGCTCAGATGGAATTGAAATACAGATCATGTGTTCTAACTTACTCTTTATCCTGGTATGTTCATACTCTGAAGAAAACATAATGACAACTTTAATTAAAGATAATATATTGTTTTCTAACCTCATTTTTTCTTTGAACTGCAAGAATGATCAGCATGAGGTGTTATAAGGAGGAGATGCAAAGAGAAAATGCTCCACTGTATATTAGTAATTTTTAAGCTGCATAATTCTACTCACTAACCAAAAGTAAGGTTTTACTAACCAGTATATATAACCTTACTAATAGGGAGCTGGAAACTGTTGTCAGTTTGCACTGTGTCAGTCAAGATTTAACATGAGCAGCCTTGAGCTTGCAAGGTAAAATCTTGTTTAACCAAATAGAGAGAAGCAACAGGTTTGAAGATGGAGGGCCAGGAAGGTGACTGTCTACTTCAGACACCAGCAAAACCTTAAATCAGTTGGAGTTCTTCAAAAGAAGCCAAGAGCCATGTGGTTTTCCTTGTTCTTTAACCGATACTCTGACGTGCTGCCGCTGTATCTGACTATTGCTGCATGCCGAGCTTATTTCTGAGCCTTTAGAAACTGGTCAATGTTCTCAGATAATTTTTTGAAGTTGTTCTTTACATATATCCATAATTTCCATTTTAAAATCATAGTTGGCATTTTACAAGGGTAAAATGTACGTAGGATCTGATCCTGCGGCTGATTTACTAATTGGCAGCATTTCTGGCGCTATTAGTGACAGCAAGATGGGGCCTGATGCTGCAGGGCACAGTGGTGGTTTCTGAAACCAACATAATGCTGCCTTTAAGAGGCTCCAGAGGACCAGAAAAATCTGTACAAGCTTTATCCCTTTACTGTATTAGCCTTGTAACATAACTGTAAGCATAGGGCATGATGGATAAAGACCTCACTTAAAAGCTCTCAAGGTTCTTGAGACCAAACCTGCTTATTGCCAGCAGGTCAGCAGCGAGGGAGCCATCCTGTGTGTCCCACAAGGCTGTGTTCTCACCAGTGGCAGGTTTCTAGTTGTTTTCCACAACTCAGATTATTTAGCTTACTATTTAGGAGAACAAACCCAAGCATTCGACATTGCACATATCCCCTCCTGTTCCTACAGCATGTGTTCAAACAAGTGTATTTCCTTACAGCTAGAGGTTGGACTTTGCAGTGTTACGGACATTTATTTATATCTATGCTCGTTGTCTGCCGTGTGAATTGTCAGCAGAGAAATCACTGCTCTGGTCTCAAACGAGTGAAACCACGTTTAAAGAATACTAGGATATACCACCCACTATTTTGAATTGTCAAAACCACTTTTACTTTGTTATCTGGCATTTGATAGAATTCTGATTAGTGTTGCACAGGAGAAAAGTTGGGGTTTTTGTTTTTGCTAATCCTGATTAAGGCTAGAAAACACTCATGATTACAGTAATTTTAATAATGTAAATTTGTGATTTGTTCTTTAGTCTTTAATCCCCTTTGGCATTTCGTTCAAAGGGAGATGAAAAATCCAGGGATTTATAACATTGAAATCGGTCATTCCAGGAATGCTTCTCGGGCAGTTTTCCTTCTACCTGAAATAAAAAATACCTAATGGATAACAAAATATTTTGCTATGAAATTAGAAATGTTTGCATGAGGTTTTTCTTTAGAAAACAGTTTAATGTCAAGCATTTTTTTTTTAGACTAAAGTGTATGTGTGTAAGAAAATAGAAGCAATTATCAAAACAAAGAATGTATTCGAAATCTTTGGCATTTATTCAGATGATTTGAAGTAGGATTTTCACTATGAAATTATATCATCTTTTCATAGTCAAAATTCACATTAATTCTTTTACCCACTACCTCAAATAGTTACTTCTATTTGTATTTATGAATACATATAGTTTTAAAACAATCCAGTTCATTTTAGTGCTCTTAGCTTCATTTAAGAGTGAAATTTCAGTTGATGTTTATTCCTGAAATGCTGAACCGTTTCGAGCATAGCTCTCAGTTTCTTTCAGGCCAAATAGATTGAGATGAAGTGTTAGTGCTAAATTAATTTGTAGAGATATTTAGCCAAGTTATTTCAGATATAAAAAATGTGTGGTTTTATTTTGTTGCTATACTTAAGTTGGTGAAATTTGCAGAAGATAAATGTGTGATGTCTTACGCAACAGAAAAGGAGAACATGATGGGTTTTGAGCTCCCTGCCTCAGTGAAACAGTTAAAAATACATAATTTCATTATTATTTAACATTACTTTAATTTTCAGGTCTTTATTTTCATCAGTGATTCATCTTCGTTGAAATCTGTTTTGTTAATGCCATTTATATCTGCTTTATTTCTATTTCCCTGTGCTAACACTAATGTTTTGTGTGTTTATGTACATCGATACGGACTTGTACTATGAATATAACCCAACCTCCCTCAGCTGCCACTGGGGAAAAAAAAGCTCTCTGCTCTTTTGCCTTAAGTATTTCAAAGGGAAAAACATGGCTGAGCAAAGAACCATCACCCCAGTTTTTCCTCCAAGCCCACTTTTGTCTAAAGTAATGAGGCCATAGTCAGTTGGCTCCAAGGAGCGTTGTGATTTAGTGTGACGTACAGTGAATCATTGCAGATCCATTCGGACTGCATTCGTTATTTTAATGAGACAGAGGCAAATCTGGTTTTTTGGCCGCAAACCTTAAGATGCAAGCATAATGTGAAATGTTTGTTGATTGCCACAAGGCAACTGACATTATAGATTTTTATCGCCATCATTATGGGGTTTAAAACTCACCACTTCCCAAGATGTTTAGCCCTTTCCCCCCTCCCCTGCAAATGACAGGACAGTTACAGTGCTGACATTAAAAAGCAAAAAGCTCATCTATTTATTTCCTGCACTTATTAAAAGCTTATGTTGCATCTTAGGGTCTTCACTGAGTTGTTTCATTCCCGCTTTCCCAGAGGAGCAGGAAAACCCCGACCGCAACCCAAAAAAGGTCACATTCAATTGGGCGACAGCAGCACTAGGTCCCCACCAGCCTTTGCTTGATGTAGTATGAGAAATGACACTGAGGCGGGCATATCTCTGCACAAACAGTAATCACAGTAATGGTGTTCATCGGAATTTACTAGTGCTCAACTTTTCTGGAGTCTGCAGTAATGTTTCCTCTTCTGTGGTACCAGTAAAGAATTTATGGTGCTTGTAGTTGCCTTCAGGCAAATGGCAGCCAATTTCTAAGAGAAAAGCTTCCAAAATGAGGCTACACTGGTAAATGTGGGGGTGTGTGCAGGTGTGTTTGTGTAAAATGCACATCCATGGGCAGGCTATGTGGTTGCGTATTTGTCTTCAGGTGTATTGCTCCTGTGCCTGAAGGAATGTTTCTATCATTGATTTACCTGATTTGTCTCCTTTCCATCAGTTGGTGGTGGTTTATGTCTGCATAAAACTTTGTGCATCATTTAGCATGAGGTGTCCCTGCCCATGGCAGGGGGGTTGGAAGTAGGTTATCTTAAGTTCCTTTCCAACCCTAACTATTCTATGAGTTGATGGTAGCACAGGCAGTGTCATTGCACAAAGACCTCTGCTGTCCTGGAAAATGGCTTTGACCTGTTCAACCTGACAAACCCATGAATAATACTGTTCATCCTTTCGTTTTACCCCTAAAATACCCAGAAATGATGTTTTGAGACAAGACAGGGTGTTGGTTTCTCATTCTGCCTCTGGCAGCTTTGCAGTGAGCACAGCAGAGGACCAGGTACCTCTTTGCTTTTCCTACTTTCCAAATGCATGCATCTTATTTTTATTGATATGCTAAAAGTAAATGTCATGCCTGGCGCTCCTCACAGAGGTGTCATGAAGAAATCCTTATGCCTCCTATTTGAGAACTGAATTACCTTAAGTGTGTTTTATCTCCTGGCAACTTCAGTGTAAAGCAAAGCACGCAGCTGACAGCCATAGTGGGTGCGCTCCGTGTTTACAGCAGAACTGGGGCTGTAGGGGAAAAAGATGAGAATCTCTTGCCAAATGTTAAAATGGCTGCTGACTGGGAGGCCTCTGGCTCAGTTTTGCATCCTTTCCAGTGTCCAAGACAATAGAATTTTACTTCTAGCAAGTTTTCCCCCTTTGGCTTCTTCCCCTTTCTTGCCTCAATCTGTTTCTTGGAAGATTTGAGGACAGGAAACACTTTAGTTACAGGAGCTCTATTACTTCTAACAGTCCTTTTTGCAATTGAATGTGGCACTGTATAAAATAATCTTGGTACGAGGAGATTGCACAGCCTAGGTAAGCTTATTCCTGTGTGACCTGACTCCTCTTTCAGCTGCTTGCTTGTAGCAGCTCTAAAGTACCCTTTTTTCTTGGGGTCTGGGGGAGGCTGTGCAGCAAAGAGCATCTTTTCTCAAGTGTTTCTTTGCAGACATTTGGGGGTCTGTTTTATGTCACCGTAACCAAAATCCCTTTTCAGGCAGGAGATTTTCCTCTCCTTTATGAGCTTTTGTTTGCACTTGTTAAGACCAGACTGCTTGTTGATCTTGCAAATCATCTCCCCTGTAAATGCTTCTGTCCTCGGTGGGATTCCGATCCAGCCTCAGACAGAATGGTTTCTATATCAATATGTGAGTCTCCATCACATAGAGCATTCACATCGAGATATTTACTGGGTTTTGGTTTTGGAGTTGAACCAAATTTGGAAGCAGCATCTGATCGTTTTAATGAAATTCTGCTGCTTTTGACTTCCTCCTGCAGTTGCCTTGCCCTGAGGCACAGGACAGATCAAGGCGTTTGCCCATGGACACACACTGACTTGAGCGAGTGGCTCTCAGGGTTTGAATTCAGTTGATCGAAGCTTGCTGCTTTCCTAAATCAGCTGCACATCACGCTGCCTCCTCGGCAGCGTTCGCGCTGACATTTCTCTTTCTCTCTCAGCATACTTGGGGGCTCTGGGAAGATTGAGCCTTTATTGTGGCAGTGGTGTCACCCAAGTCACCTCCTGGCTCCTTCTGGAGCAGTGATAGCCAATGGGAAAGGAGGTGTAGCTTCATCTTGGCTATTTTCTAGCAGTCTCCTGCTGCTACAATAGCCTGAGGCGACTTGAACCTACCCTGGGGACCAGCCAGTCCCCAGCTGCTTCCAGAGTGGAGAAGCATAAAGGTGGCTTCAAGCCACCTTTGTTCTCCAATCCTCGTCTTGCACTGAGCACAGACGAGCCTTAGGGGAGAAACTGGGCCAGAGCTTATGAAATGCTTTGCTATAGAAGCATGCTCTCACTGCAAAATGCAGCTTTGTGGTTCTCTGAGCTCCTGTCTCAACACCCTTCGCTTCTTGCCTTGCAACAGGGGAAGATGGCTTTCTCTGTCAGTGTCACCATTTAAGCCATAGGCTCCTACCTCAGAGAGAGTCCTGCACAAACCCGGTGATCCCAGGGAGCAAGACTGATACATGGTAGGAGGAGGAGGTATTACCACTGTCTGCACGACTCTTTGTTTTTATTTTTCCAAGGAAAATGGGCACTTTTAACAGGGATTCTTTTTATTCATACACTCACATCCCTACTTCAGCCAGCCTGTGGTTTTGAGCCAGCCCCGGTTTGCTCTCACCCATCTTGAGGTGATTATACTTACACACCTGTAATTCCCAGTTAAACACCCAACTTTCGGTTTTCATACCATGGAGTTAATCCATTTCCAACACTAACGTTGCCCAGTATTACTCTCCTGACGTCAGGGACCCTTCTCATTTTCAAATGAGACAAGTGCCAGCCTCATGAAATTCACTTTTTGTGATCAGCATTATTTGGGCAGTCAACTTCTGGCACTTCATTTCTATTCTCTGGCCCTTCCCATAAATTCCTGTGTAATGCCCAACATTGCTGACAGCACACATGCATTTCTGCTGGCTGAAACACTTTTAGTGGCTGGTTTTAGTTGTCTAACATGAAATAACTCTTTTCACCTACCCAATGGCATTGAAGACTCTGCTAGGCAATGACATGAGGAGTGATGTGGTCAAAAGGAGACAACCCAGGTGACCAGGTAAGGCACAGAAGATACTTCATTCAACCCTGACATGTCTGCTCATTTGCTGAACATCACAGGTATGTTCCACAGCATAACTCTCATCAGGTCCTGCAACTGGAGCAACGCTCATCTTTTGCACTTTAATATCATCTAAAAGCTTCTAAAAGCTCCTCCAAGCGGCTGCAGGTTTAGGTTTGGCCAGCAGAAGGTGGCACAGCCTCAGTGATGCGAGGGACATCTGGCTCAAACAAGAATGCCCCATAACCAGTATGATCATGGCAAAGGCTGATTTTTCTTGTCACAAATCTTCTGATGACTCTGGAATGACTTTCACCCTGTTTGCTACTGGCCTACATTTCATTCGCTACATTATCTGAGCTGCCAGCCTGAAACACTCTATTGGAGTTAGACCAAAAGCTTATTCTGGTCTCGATGTCAGTTCGGATGTGGTTTTACCCTGAATTTCATTTAGTTCAGGTGTTAAAATCAGAGACCACTACACCCCAAACAGAAGGCACAGGATAGTGGAGTTTAACCCAAATATGATTAACATTGAGATAAAAGCATGTATAGCTTGAGGTAGACTGAAGACCCTCCGTTCACATAAACTTGGCCGTCACAACTCAGTGATCTTGCTTTCTAGTATCTCTCTAGATGGCCACGGACAGAGCAGACAAAGTCTCGTCATTCATTCAGGAGTTGAGAAGTGGAAATTCCATCTTTCCTCTTCATTTTCTCTGGGAAAATCTTCTGACTAATTTATGGAGTAGTTAATCTGGTTTCGCACGTGCGCGGGTAAATGAGCATATCGTGTGTCTTTGCGTGCAGGAGCAAGAATTATTTCCTGATGGCAAGATAATGGAAACATATTGGGGGTGAGAGAAGGCTTTCATTAGAAAAGCACAGCTTCACAAGGATGGTTCTTGCATATGAATCGTGACTCATCTGCTCCAGCCTGAGAAACTCACTGGGAGTCAGATTATTGTGCTTAACTCAACAGCTAAAAGTCAGACAGCTAATTAAGCCTGCGCTGTCTCCATCCTGAAGAATAATAGATAACGGTTTCCCAAGGGTAATTCATGTCACTGTAGAATAGGTGGACAAGTTGCCTTCTGGGGATGCTTATCTCTTGACATTGACTGCAGAAGCTACACAGGTAACTTAAAATAGATGCCTGGTTTTCAGACACATAAACACAGTGAGAGCAGCCCTCGTCTTACTGCCTTGTGCTAGAATTAGGACTTAAAACAAGAGCTTAAAAGGTTGCAGTTTCCTGGCAGTCAGAATAACCTGGCCCCAGTAAGAAGCAGCCCATCAGCAGTCAGAATAACCCAAGGCAATGTGAAATTAAAAGCAGGTTTAACTAAAGCTGCCGAGGGAAAGTTTTTATGTCTGTGGGAAGCAAGTGTGGTCACTAAATAATATGGCATAATAACAATGAAAGAGATAAATGAATAGGGGTAAATGAAGCAAATCATACTGGCAAACCTCAGAGTTAGGATCTTAAAGTTGAAGGTTGCAGACAGTGCAGGACATGCAGTGTTAATCCTACTGAACTTCAGGATCATAGAATTGTTGAGGTCGAAAAACACCTTTAAGATCAAGTCCAACCATCAACCCAGCACTGCCAAGTCCACCACTAACCCATGTCCCTTAGTGCCACATCTACATGTGTCTTAAATACCTCCAGGGATGGAGACTCCACCACTGCCCTGGGCAGCCTGTCCCAGTGCTAGACAATCCTTTTGGGGAAAGAAATTTTTCTTAATATCCAATCTAAACCTCCCTCATGCCGTTTTCTTTCTCCCTATTGCTTGTTACCTGGGAGAAGAGACTGACACCCAGGCAAACTGAATCTATCACACAATGTATTTGAGTGGATGAGGTCAAATTTGTACCTCTTTGTTGCCCAGCAACTGTAGCTGAGCATAGTGATGTTATTTGCTATAAGAAGGTGTTGCACAGACACACGTTCAAAAACAAGCCAGCATGAACCTAGTGAAAAGTCCTGATCCTATAGTTATGAACTGGAAGAAAGCTCTTCACATGCAAGGTGGCATTTTGCACCTGAGAACACAGCAAATACTAATGCATTTCTGAAATGCATAGTACAGCACTGCATTATATGCTTACATCTGACTAATGTAATGTGAAAGTGGCCTAATGCAGTATGTTATTTGTCCTGATATAGTCTGGAGCTTCCGTGAACAGATACTAAGGAAGCTGTGAAGCTGTCATGCTTTGTAGAGGCTACTCAGAGGCTGGAGATTGAGTAGCTATGATTCTAGAATGCAATTGTGCTTTTAAAGCATCTCATTTCCCTGGGTGGAGCCTTCACAGACACCCAGAAGATTGTTTAACTGATGTCCATAACTCTTCCCCTGTTTAAGTAGGGCAGCAGAGAGGGCACTGATCCATGATGCACTGCCATTTGCTCTCAAGGCTTGACAGCAGCATTCCATATGTACCTACTGGAAAATAGTCTTAATGTCCCCTCCAACACAGCAATTTGCCAGCCAAGAGATCTGCAGACTCTGGATCCAGTGATGGAGTGAGGGTGGGAAGAGTCATCCCTGTTAACCCGTGACTGCTGCATTTGTCATCCTTACAAGGACGTTAGACACAGTGAAATGAGTTCTGGTGGAAGCCTGTGCCTCCCCGAAGCGGGCAAATGGTCGGTTAAGAGAAAGCAAATGAAAGGTAAGATTAATAGCATTTAGCATGGCAGATAGACTAGCAGTTTGCTAATTAAAGATGTTAGAACATAGAAGCAGCCAAGGATCAGTGGCTTTTAATGAGGATGTTGTAGGGTGATTTAGGTCTAATTTTCTGCTTAATAAGGCTGGTTTAAAAAGTAATTTTGTTGGGATGTGACTCTCCTAAACCTGTTCATTATCAGTGATGGGACTTCACTTCAACACTCCAGGAAATGTTGTGTTTAATTAATATTGTGTCGGCAAGTGGATATGCTGACAGATGAGAAAAAAATTGATGAAGAACTTTCAAGGACATTGACTTCATTACACAGCTTCATTATAGCCTGAATAACTGGCTAAATATGTCACTGGAAAGATAACGTGCCACTTTTAACTCTTCTCTGTGTGTTGCTCGTGTAAGTAAGCAAAGTGTGTTTTCAAACTAGCCACTATCGGAACAAAAACAGCATCATGGGACCAGTTCTGCAATGTTTTCTCATTGCATTCCTTGGTCTCTAACTGATGGTGAGCTGTTTAAAGCAAAATACAGTAGGTTACTTACATGCATTCATCAGCGTTTTTACTTGAACAGAATAAGACTTTAGTAAGTGACAGTCTTCACTATTGGGTAGTTTAATACAGCACCCTGAGAAAAGAGTAGAAACTGATTTAAAGGAGTTCTGTTTCTCTGGGCAAAATAACATCCTGATGTATAGTGATGGATTGATCAGTGTCTCTATGTTGTTGTTGATGGAGATACATTTATACCTGTTTGGTCAGTTTGTCAGCAGTCTGTTTAAACCCATGGTCATGTACACACGCATACATTCAACTTATACACACGGGAAGCAAAATTAAACGTCCCAAAGGTTCTGAATACTTTGCCTCTACGTGGAAGGGGATCAGTTTTAGCAGTCTGAGTGAATCACAACAGGGTTACACCTAGGCAGGAGAGAGTGTCTGTACCCTGCTATGAGAGCAGAGGGAGACAGGTCAGTACTGGCACTTTACTTGAGCCAGGAATGCTTTTAGTATCTGCCATGCAATAATTTGGTACCTGGGAAGCATCTCAAACAAATCTTCTTGTCTCAGTTCAGAAGAACTACACAGGAAATACAGCAAAGATGATTTGTTTCAGGCTAGGTGATGTGACCCAAGTGTGACCTTCAAGACTTTGGGTCAGGATCCTCTGATTCCAAGTATTATCAGGCTTTTTGCAGCAAGGTAAAAAGGCTTCAAAGCTGATCTTTTAAACAAGGACTGGGAGAGGAAAAGAAAAGCACTAAGTACAGGGTCTGGAGCAGTGTTTACCTGGAGGACACAGAAAAGCATCCGAAAGGTGTCTGACAAGCTTCCTAGAGAAAAACAGGTCAAGCAGCAAACAGCTGACTTCTGGGTTTCAGTTGCTCCTTCTTTGAGAAATAAGGCTCTTTAAAGAAGGAAAGGAAGAAAAACAAAGATCAACCTTTGAAGCCAAAAGCAAAAGGAGAAAAGAATGTTTTCAGTCTTACTCATTAGGGATATTAGCCAAGAGAAGAGGGCCAGACAGGGGAAAGGGAAGAGGCGCTGACTGGAGGCGACAGCTGGAGTTTATGTGATGCGTCAGTTCTCTTTAACACCTCCATTTTGTGCTGCTGTCACCTTCAGATGAGGACTTTTACAGAATGGGACTCACAAAAAGCATTCTCCTGTATCAGCCCTGTTACACACCGGAGAGCTTTGTCCCCATAGCACTGTTTGCTCTTACATTCATAGATGCAGAGAGACCCGCACAGGAGAGCGTGTCTGTGTCTGTGCAGCCATGGCTATGTGTGTAACTTGGCCCTCACCCAACACCTTTGAACTTTACCCATGTGCCAGCAACCATTAATAATGACTCATTATTTTTTTACCCTTGGTAATAAGGAAAGCAACACTCGGCCCAACTGTTCAATGAAAGAGTAACAGATAGCGTCCTGTCATCACCGCAAAGCTGAATCCGCTCCAGCACCTTATGTCTAGAGAAACTCAGTCAGATACCATCCCAGGTTTGGAAAAGAGGAAGGGACTAATGAAAGCTGTCAATCTCCACCCAGGTTGGCTGTGTCGGTACATGTGGAATGACCTCCCTAATGGGTAATTGCAGGATTAGAACCTCAGAGTTTAAGTATCTCGCAGGGACATCTGTCAGTGGAACAAGTCATCGCCTGGCAGTGGTACGATGCTCTTAGACACTTAATAGGGATCAGCCCACAGGGGAGAAGGTGCCTGGGAGCTGTAACACTGGTTAAGCCTGTGAACCATGCACATCCCGGGAAAGTGGCTGTAACTGTCCACTTGCAGGCACAGCTTCTGCATGTGAGCATGGGAGGATGGTGTGCAGAGCCCACCTGTGCTGGCTGCGCATCACCCTTCTCATGCGTGCCTTGGGAAGGCAGGGACTTTGTTCCATAGGGGTAGCAAGCGCTACTCATTAAATGTGCCACTACAGATGCCATCATCTGTGGTGGAATCGCACCTACTGTGTAGGACAGCAAAGGCCAAACAAGTCCTAGATGAAAGCTTGAGTCATATCTAACTTGCCTCTAATGGATGACCACCTTAAACACCACGACTTCTTCTTTCTCCTGAGACAGGATAGAGTCAGGGTCATGCAACTTTGGTAGCAGAAATGTTCTGAGTTGGTCATCTTTCAGCTTTTTTGGGTGGCATGACAAGCACAAACCCATAGGCATAGAGATCACCCAGTCCATTCCTTCATACTAATCCCCATAAATACGCTATTGGCCAATAAGGGATTAAACAGTTTATAAATGAGGCTCAGGGCACTTACTGGTTCTGCTGATGGTGTCTTCAGTCATCTCCTGCATTCAGGCACATTGTCTTCATGGTGCCATCTCAGAGGGGAGAGCTGACATGGCCAGGGCCAGCAGGGAGATCAGCGACAGTGCAGGGCATCATCTTCTGGCTGCCTGGACCACGTAGGTATGAACTGAGTAACGAAGCAGGGCATACATTTGGAAGCAAAGGGTGGTAACAGCCCACGTGTGTGAGCAGCACACGTATGTCAGCATCCCACGTGTGTCAGTAACACATACACTTGCTCACAAGAAGAGCCTGTTGCTCTTGTGTGCTTTCAGGAGTATCTCAACCGAGCATTCACCTTCGGGGCTGGAGCAGAGAGTCCCTCAGCACAACGCTCTGTAAATATTTAGATGGACTTTTGAAACCAAATGTCATTAGAAATTGGGCTGTTGCATAATCCAGTGCAATGCACAATGTGTAACTGTCAGATATCCAAGGATGTAATATTTTGTAACAAGCCAAAATCAGAAGTGTGCTCTCATTAACATCCCAAATGCACTAAGCGTTTGGTAAACACTGGAAGATACATTTCTTGCCCCAGAGAGCATACGATCTGAAATATTAATATTGAGTCTAGATAAATCAATGTTTGCTTACTAAAATCATGGGCTGAATACTTTATAGCACCCGCACAGCTGCAGGGATACTGCAAGCAATGTCTCCCTGTGCTGCCACAGAACACAGCACGGGTCTGTATGCAAAGCTTCACCTTACTGTGCAGCTTTAAAGCTGTGGCAATAATGTCACTTAACAACATCTCCTGTCACTAATAGTAAAGGTAAAAGAAATCGGATGTTTTCTGCGGACCCCCAGTGGGTTTCTTTCAGGCAAGGACCATGTACACTAATACAAATCATATTTCATGTTACTCACAGGACATAGAGATAATCAGAAAGCTATCTTCATAAACAGAGGGTTATTCATAATCCCTCACATGGCATTTCAATTATCAGTCTGATGACGATGTGACATTATGGATGAGGTTGTGATTAAATTTCCTTGTGTAATGACCCTAAGTAAATCTTTGCAATTTTCATTTTGCAGAGATTTAATATAGATTGGTGGCCTGTTGTTTGGCCCCTCTTTAATCCAGAATCGCTCATTAAATTGGGACCAGTAAACATCTGATGATTGCATTTCATGGGCTGAGCTATGAATTTAACATATTAAATCTACATTCCAGATGGATATAAGCATCTGTTCTCATTATGGTTATTGGTGTTAATCTGAAACCCTGACCTGTTTCTCCTGATGTTACTCATATTAAATTCCATCCCAAATTCTAACAAATATTGGCAGGAGGGCAGGAGGTAGCTAAAATGCCTTCACGTGCACATAATCCAATGAAAGATTAAGAGCCGAAATTAGGGGACAAATAATAGGAACTTGTTTCTTGTTCTCAGAAGGCGGCTTTCATCGCTGCAGCAGGTAAAACAACTCCTTTTGTTTTCCAGCACTGAAAAAAAGACCCTGGAAAACCCCAGGAGCCAATTCGATTTGACCATGTCCTTGCTAATCACCGGGCTTGAGCTGCATCCTTTACAGAGCGGCACATCCCTAATTTGTAAATCTGATTTGTCACTAAATCTCTGCAGACTTTGACCCAGCATCTTACAGGCACTTGTCTGGCAGTAGCCAGGCTCCTCTGCTTCAGAGCCAGTCAGCTGAAAGTCAAATTAATCGGTGACTTCCAAAGGCCATTAGGAAGGTCTGTGTTACAGGGCTGCCCAGAGCTTCTCTGCACTGAATGATTCATGTTTATTGCAGCCGGGGCATTTATTTATTAGATTGCTCGGTGTAATGGGAAATTTAAAATGACACACATTGTATTAGAGGGAGGCTTAGCAAAATATTATCTCCCTGTTACTGTAAATCAAACAATTCTCGATGTCAGTTCAGATCACCTTTGCTCAGCAGAAGTTTTTCCAGAGGGTTTGTTTAGTTCCTTAGGGGTTTTTAGCTTTACCTTAAGCAAACATATGCCCTCTTCCCAGCCTGCTGTGTGAGATAGGCTCAGTGCCACGGACTGCGTAGGGATGCTGACTGTAATCCCGGATTTGCTTGGGTCTTCACACCCAGGTTGTGTGTGAAAAGGACGAGACAATGCAGCCCCATGGTAAAAAAAAAAGGATGAGCCAAGAGGCTGGATATAGATTTTGGCTTGAAAAGGAAGAATCCATTCAACATTTTAAATGGATTTAAAGGATCCAGATGCCTCATTAACTGATGCCCCAGGGTATCCTGGCTTATTGCTTGGGGGCGGGGGAAAGGAGGATCCAGCCTCTGGGGTGGTGGGAGAAGGAAAAGCAGCCCGGGAAATTGTAAATACCAAACAAGCCTGGCTGAGTCTAGTAAAGACGGGCTGCAGCAAAAAACCTGGACTAAACCCATCACTGGAGTTTACCCTCCTGTAGCACTTTCCCCTGGTCAAGGCTCTCTGCATGCAGACTGTAAGTGACTAATAGCAGGAATAAGGGTTAGGGGGAGAGCTTTGTGGGGGTTTTTGGCACTAAATATTCACCTGCAATATATAAACACTGTCCCCGCAGGGCAACGTGCTGGAAAATACACAAAAGCTCTGGTTATTGCTTAAGAAGTGGGATGCAGTGTTTCCTGATGGCTGCACTTGTCTGTAAAATCTCCCTGTGATTTGAACAGGTTGGAAAGTGAAGAAACACAAATATTTTATTTCTAATGTGAACAGAAGTTTGTGAGTAAAACACAGGAAATGGAGATTTAAGCACGTGACAGGTATTAGCGAAAGAAAACTCTGGTGCAGCTTCCCATAGTCATTTCATAATGGGGGGAAAAATCAGATCTCTTAAATACTACCTCCAAGACCATAAAAAGAAAGGGGCAAAAAGGATTGCAGGGTTCAGTGGGTGAAAATACCCACTAAGGTGTGTATCTAACATGGCTCACGGTTGTAATAGGGCACAAGTAAAAAGCCAACCCTGCCATTAGTGATTAAGCCTGCATCATTCACGGCAGAGCCGCTGTGCTATGCAATGAGGCTAATTGTCTCCAAAGTCCTGTCTGGTTTAGAAGAGTCCGGTGCAGCTGGTGTACAGCGGTGTTGGCCATGCTTCAGTCAGAGCAGTTTGACTTCAGCCCCTCTCCCTGATGCAGGCTCTGGGACTGGTGGGGAGGGTTGCTACTGCTTATCAGCATCTGCAGCTCCTGACAGCCACAGCCATGGGAAGGATGGAGCACGGTGTTGGGATGACGGCAGTGGGAACACAAGTACAGCGCGGAGAACGCTGCCTGAAACGATCTACCCAAATTCAGGTTTATTATTATTTATTATTGGTAATTTATTTATTATTCATATTTATTATTCGTATCCAGGTGTAGTTACACCAGGATTTTGCCTGGTTGCTCCCAGGACAGGTCCAACAGCAGCACTATCAGTGTGTGAGCATTGCCAAGAGGGTCACCAGGACCAGCCTGGCAGAGCAGAGAGTAGAAAGCAGCAAGGGACAGGAGCCCTGGAGGGGCTTTTCTGGTTTAGGGGGCCATAGCAAGCATGCACAGGCCACCTGAGTTTAGCTGCAAGACGAGGTGATGTTTAATTTGGGTTGTTATATCTACTGGTGCTGCCCGCTGGTTGCAGACCAGTGCTATGTGAATGCAGGAGCAGACACATAAGTGGTTGACATCTCTCATCACCTAAAGACTTCCACAGCATAACCATGGAACAAGTGGGCCTAGAGAAAATCAGAATTAAAAATACGCTTCCTAAGAACAGATTTACATTGGAGAAATCTTATTGCTGCCTTCCAGTACTTTAAGGGAATTAGCAAGAAGTCTGGAGATGGACTTTTTACAAGGGCCTGAAGTGATAGAACAAGGGGAATGGCTTTAACCTGCCAGAGGGGAGACTGAGCTGAGCTCTTAGGCAGAAGCTCTTCCCTGTGAGGGTGCTGAGGCGCTGGCACAGGGTGCCCAGCGAAGCTGTGGCTGCCCCATCCCTGGCAGTGCTCAAGGCCAGCTTGGACACAGGGGCTTGGAGCAAGCTGCTCTAGTGGAAGGGGTCCCTGCCTGTGGCAGCGGTTGGAGCTGGATGAGCTTTAGGGTTCCTTCAACCCAAGCCAGTTTGTGAGTCTAAGAGTTTAAGTAGAGAAAGGAACTCTCTATGCCAGGGAAGGCAGTCCCTGAAATTCCCCCCAGCCTCCAAAATGAGGATTTTTAAGAAGGGCTAATGCTGAATGATGGCTCCGGGGAACCATCCTGTAGCTTCCAGCACAATGGACCAAAGATTTTAATTGCTTGTTAACTACTATTGTCGCACACAAGCTAGCAAAGCTGAAACCATCTGACATAAATCACATCTATCAGCCCAATAAATCTTCTCTCAAAATGACAGCTTTGCAGACAGCACTAAATTAGAGCGGCCGTTGCACAGACCTGTACTTACAACTGCCGCCTGCAAACCGGTGACAGATCTGTTGAGACCAAAACACTTGGCATTCTGCTAATGTCTGTCATTACCGTGATTGATAGAGCCCCTCTATCACACTCTGCAGTTGTCTCCATTTGCAAAGCTTTATTAAATTACCACGTCTCCCAACTGTTATCCGCATCAGTACAAGGAAATGACCAAGAGCAGTCAGGGACATCTTGAGGTTTTTCAGCTCCAAAGACCTGGGGAGGTGGAAAGGGTGAAAGCTGAGGCTTTGCTGGCTTTTCTCGAGCTGAAACACCGAGTACAAGATTATCTTTGTGCTTGACACTCCACACTGGGCAGTGGAGGGGTTGCTCCTGATAAAAGAAATAAGTTACATTGACAACTCTCTCTCTACCGCTCCAGGCTTGGCAGGACCAAGGGACTTTCTGCTTCTTTCAATGTGTTCTAATTATGAAGGTTGAAGGATTTATTCTGCAAGCCCTGGTGCTCTCGGGGCCGGGGTTATCTTAATGACTCTCCTGCAAGTGTTCCCCTTGACCTACCTTCAGTGCAGTAACAGGTGCCATTACAATATATTCCGCCCCTATGAAAGTCCTGTCGTCTCGGAGCCTTTAGGAGGAAGAATATACAGATATATTGTTTCTATAAATCCCCTGGTATTATCTTTTATCGGTAGTAATAAATGTCCATATTAATTAACTTAATGGTTTTAACTGCAGTAATGACTTTGTATTAAACTAGTCCGCTTTCATGTCCCATATAAAAGCTGCAATAATAAAATTCATCTACAGTATTCTTTTTTTTTTTTCAACTTCTATTGTGCTGAAACAAAGCAAACCCATTGCTGGAATATTCCAGCCACCAAGGCCAGC